TTTTGAGTATATGCATATATTTGAGCCTATATGTATACTTTTGACCCTGTCTGGATGATAGAAAATCCTAAATAAATTCGTGTATCCAATTCTTGTTTTTTAAAATCACTCAAGATATATGTTGCAGAATCAGTCTAACCTGGAAAAAGAACAGCTCAAAGAAATCACCAAAAAATCCAAAATTATCAAGACATGGTCATGATGAGTGTATGTAATGACGCAACTGTTCTGAGCTGTTTGATTTCCTTAGAAGGAAATTTGAAAGAAAGAAAATCGCAACTGGTGAATTGCACTGGCAAAAATGTTGGTGCAGGGCTACTCCATCTGGGGTTTTTTTCATAGAATTAATAGCTCCAGCAACATGCAAAGATACACACAGTGTGTTTTGGTGAGTAACATGAAACATAAGCACAAGTGGCATTAAAACCTTTAAATATGTAGTCATGAAGTTGAAGGGTTATGATCCTATTTAAATCAAATATAACTAAAAATCATTGAACTTTTTTTTTTTTGTATATGCAAGGAGCACGTTGACTATGTGAAAAAGATGTCAGCCAAGTTGAAATCGGTTACATACTTATCCTTTTATGTTTTTCAAAAGAATGTAGAGTATCATGTGCCTCATCCATAATGAGTTATGTACAATGGGTACTCACAATAAAGTTACTATGGTGGCGGATAGCTGCATGGTTTTCAGCAGACTTCAAATCTCCAATGAACTCCTCACAGTTCTGGCAGTAAAAGCCAGTAACTGGAGTTATAAAACCCAGTCCTGCAAATGGAGAAGAAAAGTATTTAAGTGTAAGGAATATTTTAGACTGTGGCAGACAACAAAATGGAAATAAACAAAGAACACTACATTACCATCTTGTTTTAACAGTTCATCCAGTTCTTTGGCCAAAGACTCCATTTTATTTACTTTCTCTTGTTTCTCTCTCTTCCTTTCCTCACTGTCACCCTCCTGTGAAACACATTCGAATTTCAAAATAAGCGGGTGCTTTAGCATTTTTTTCTGTATCTCACTTCATTACACAAATGATGTTTGAAAATTCACCTTATGTTTATCAGATACTTGAGATGCGCAGTCACTTTTTGTTCGTTTCTCCTTTGTAGCTGAAGGATCAAAGATTAACGGTAATTAATGTATAACTATGCTTTCACTAATAAAAGTATTAAAGAATAATAACAGAGGTCTAAGACATCAGACCAGGTGACATCAGCTGGGTAAATAGCTGTCATACAAGTCTCTTCGTTTCACACAAGCAGACTTTTGTGCTTGTTGCCATCCCTCAGGCAACAATAATGCTGGGCGTTCTATAAGTTTCTTCATGGCTGACCTAATGAAATTTAAAATGTTTTATGACCTCTTTCATTAAAAAAGAAAAAGAAAAAAAAATCACAACCACACCAGCAACACAATGAAAGAATTTTACCTCGGTAAAAATCTAATGCAAAACGTGTGATAATTAGCAAATCATTATAGTTTAGTTACCCAGAAACTGGATTAAAAGAGAGTGAAGTATATATTTAAGCATGCGTATATATGCTTAAATATATACAAAAAACAATGGTTTACTTAAACCATTATTTTTTTTGGTCTTTCCCCAATTCCCTTTCAGGATTTTTTTAAAAAAGGAAGCAAATTTCAGGGAGCCAGAAAATGCAGTTTCATGGATGCCTCCAAAAGCAACTCAATCTCCACAGACTCCCATATCAAAATGCCCAACTTCACTGCTTAAATAAAACTCATTACAGACTGCTACAAGAAAAAGGTCTGATCTTTATAATTTTCTCCCATTTTCCCCTTTCATGACCACTGCAAAAGTTACCCTTTATGAGTCTATTTTAAAAAACTGATAATTTGGTAAAAATGTTCTTGTTTTTACTTGATTTAAAGGGGATAAATTTACATATATATTTCCTATTCCATTCTTATTCATTAAACAAAGTGAAATAGCTTATTTTGTTTTAACATCAATGACTATGGCTAACAGCATGTGAAAATCAGAAATCCAGTACCTCAGACTTACAGAATATTTCCTCATATCAATCAAAAAGGATTTACAATATAGAAATGTCTAACATCTGAAAAGTATGCACATTTACAGTTGTAGTCACAGTAGTCACTTGAGTCTTAACCCTAACCCTTTTTCCAATGTGGACTGATTGTACAACACCTTATATTACTTAAAACAAGAATTTGGTTCCTAAGTTTAAATTGATGGATTGTCTCTAATCTACAAAGTGCAAAAACTATATGTATGCTTAAATCTATACATTCACTTCACTATGTTTTAATAAGTGGTGCTGAGGGTTCTACAGAACCTTAACTTGACAAGGTTTTTACCTATTGACTTGTCAAAACTACCAGTTGACTACAATTGGTAGTTTCTCTTTTCCAGCATAAAAAGTTGGTTGCCAGCAGTCATGGCATTGACAGATGTCTAGAACACTGGAAAAGTCTAAGGAACTCTGTTAAGATCTAAGATGGATAATTGTAGATTTACACATGTAGGGGATGTTTCACGGAGACATTTCTAAACAACTACACATTCCAGAATCCTCAATTCAAACAATTATAAATAAGTACAAGTTATTTGGATATGTCAGCACTTAGCCAAGAATAAAAAGAACACGCAAACTGTCCCACTCACATGAAACAGTTGTACTGGTACATTGCACAAAGTGGCTGGAATAATGAAGGAGGACTACAACCTCCAAAATCTTTCCTCTTTTACATTTCCTCAGATCAGCAGCTAGAAGAAGACTAGTCAAATATCTAGCCAGGATTACGCCAGAAGCTTGTTAATGGGTACTAAAAGCATCAGGTCAAGGTGCAATTTGCTAAGGGACAGTTAACCAAATATTAGTGGGGACGTATATATTTGAGCCTGTATGTACAATGTTAACACAGTGTGGTTTAAAGAAAATTCAAAATAAATTTAAACTTGTGCACCCAATTCTTGTTTTTTAAAGTAATTAAAAATGTATGCTGTACAATCATTCCACCCTGGAAAAAGAAGAGTTCAAAGAAAACAGAAAAAAAGAAAACAAAGAAAACCAAGACTCTTTCACCAAAAGTTAAGCACGTGTTTAGGAGCCTGAGCACCCTTTACCTCGTCTGTATGTTATATAAATATAACAATGGCAGCGGTCCCCAACCCCTGGGCCTCGGACCGGTACAGGTCCATGAGCCGTTTGGTACCGGGCCGCAAGATTTGAGGTTTGGTTGTGAAATGTATGGTTTTCAGGGTTTTTATCGTTAACTCTGTTTCCCTGGGTCTTTTCCCGTGTTGTAGTTGTGTGTCTTATTTTGAAAGAAATATTTACGCGCGAGCAAGTGGCACAGAGGACTATGTTACTCTCAAATTTGTTGGAGCATTTCAGGAGGACGCTGCTAATAAAGTTACACAATTACACAGTGAATTAGCGTTTATTACTATATTTACAAAATACCACAGTTTTGTCTTGGCCTTTTCATTTTATTTTGTTGTATTTATCCGCGACACCTTAAAGGCCGGTCCGTGAAAATATTGTCTGATATTAAACCAGTCCGTGGCGCAAAAAAGGTTGGGGACCGCTGCTCTATGGGGTTAGCGTCAGATGAGTTAGCTGACCAATAACATGCTGTTAAATAAAGTAACAGTATGTTATTACTGTTTACTTTATAAACAGATCAGAAAATCATTTTAGTAATTTTGGCACTGTCGTTAGATAGTGGTCCTGTTGGTAAAAGAAACCAGCATCTCCATAACACTTGTGAGATAGTGCTGTACAATCTTCTGTACTGAAAATGGAGTTGATAAAACACAGTGGATCAATCACTACAAACACCGGAAGATGAAGTGGCACCACAAATGATCAGTAACTGTGGATACTGGACTTCAAAAAAACATGGATTCTGGGCATCTCCACTCTTCCTCCAATATAAAATCCAAATCCCTTCTGGTTCAAAAACAAAAGACGAAGTTAGCTAAATGCCAAACTCAAGTCCTGAAAACAGTAGTCCATTAACTAGTGCATCTTTTGAAATTATCTATGTTTATTTTAAATACACTGCATATGGTTTGTATTCACAGACAAGTCAAATTACATACAATTTCAGGTTTAAAATTTAAAAGTATGTTATGTGTAACTCATAATCTGCCATAATGAAGTAAATCAAACAACTGTTATCGTTAATAACACAAAATACTGAAAAAAATAGAACTCAGTAGCATGAGTAAACTATGCTGAATCTTTCATTTAATAGAAATCTCTCACCTTTGATCAGAGATTGCAGAGACTCCAGAGCCTGACGTACATTTGGGTTATTGAGTGCTGGCAATGCTAAAGTTGCTGCTGCTTTGTCTGAATTGACAAGTGTAGGAGATGACTCCTGCTCATTCTGACCCTGCGTCTTCACCTTGATCTCACTTGATGAACCCAGGCTTTTTAATATGGTCTTGATTTTCTCATATTCCATGTTGTCCAGATTGGAGTGGACTAAAGTTGAAGAAGCCAACTGCAGGGACTGATTTGGATCAAGAAGATGTCCACAACGAGTGGAAAGGGAACTACTCTCTTTCTGTAGTTTGGCCTTTTCATTAATCTGGGAAGCTGGTTCATTCCCATACAAGAAAGACTCTTCATCTTCAAGTTCATTAGCTTTCTGGTATGCAGCATCTTCTTGACTTTGTCCTTGAAGCCATGAGAAATCACCACCAACTCTTTCATGTGGAAGCAGCATGCTTTCCTTTTCCAGCATTGATAAACTGTCTTGACTGTCATGTTCCATGTGTGTAGGCTCATTAGATACACACTCAACTTTTTTGCCCTCATCTGGAGCCTGTGTAGAAGAAATCACAATTAGATACACTGAATTTGTGGCTGCTCACAATTATACTGCTCAGTTTAAAGGTTCAGGGCTAAAGCAATCAATTGTTCACCCACGAGCCTTTGTAGGTCAATGTAATTCTCATTTCAGCATAAATAAGTTCAGCATAAACACCAACTAAAAACCTCAAGCTCCAGTGCACTGTTACATGCTTTAACTTAAGACTAACATTCTTTCCTGGATCATATGGCCTATATTGAAACCTCGCCATTATAAACTATAGCTTTTAACATTTACAACTGCCAATGTCCGAGACGTCTATGTGCTGTGTTAAGAAATTTCAATTTAAGCTCCTATTAATTTAAGCTGCTATTATTTAAATATAATAGCAATTTGTAATAGTATTGTCCCAATGTAACATGCAGGGTAGATACAGCACATAATTTGTACAGGTTTCACTGAAAAGTCTTATTTTCCTAAAAACAGCTTCTGCAATTACAAGAATTTTACTTGACTTGACATATGCACTTCTACTTAAAGACATTTTACATAGAATTTGATAATTTCTTTATATTATAAATACATATATATATATAAATAATGCTGCTGAAATCTCTATCAATTACTAGTTACTTCCATACACAATGTCATTTTTAGATCAAGTTACATAAAGCATGTCAGAGAATTCTGTTTTGCACTGCAAGATTGTCTTAATTTAAAAACAAACAAAAAAATACACTAATTAATGACTTACAAATGCTAAATCATACTAGTACTTGGCAAACATTACTATAATGTTAGGGTTTGTTGTTGTGAACTCTTAATGTTGATTTTTTTATTACAATGCAGCTGGTTTCAATTTGGTCCAGCAAAACAATGATCTTAGCATAACTTGTGGAATAAGTAATAAGCTCTACCTTAATAGTGAGGATGATATCTTTGAGAGATGGCAGGTGATCTTCCAAATCTTGGCTGCTCATAACCAGCTTCAATCCTTCTAATAGACTATTTCCTGGCAGATTATTACTGCTGTTGACAGTGATGAGTTCGGGGCTCCTGTTTTTCTTTTTGCCTTTGCCTCGGCTCTTTTCACTGCTGCTACTTCGTGACTTGGATCGCCTTGCTCGACTCTTGCTCCGTACATGACTTTTTTTCTCACTTCGACTGTTGCTCCGACTCCTACTGCGAGCCCTACTTTTGCTTCTAGCTCGACTCTTCCCACAGGCTTGAGTTTTGCTTCTTCCCCTGCTTCGGCTGCGTACTCTGCTTTTGCTTCGACCGCGACTCCTGGCTCGAGACCTGCCTCGGCTTCTGCTTCGACTACGGCTCTTGCTTCTAGGCACATGCTTCTGGAATTCACGGTCTGATTTGACTGCTTCTTTCAAGATACTAGCTGACTTAAATGCGTCAGCCAGGTTGTATGCCATGTTGCCTTTCAGATAGTTTGGGAGAGGTTTGTTGGCTGCAATGCATCTCAGGAATTCCTCACCAGCACGGTCACTGGAAACAAACATGTGTTACAAACAAAAGAATATTTTAATGCTGAAACTTTGACTTATACACACTATTTCAGTGACAGAAACACACACAAACACACACACAGACCTATTATCTAAAGAATGACGTTCCACTGGAGGGGGATTCCACTGTGGTACCGGATGTGTTGATGGTTCAGCAGGAGTAACAATCTGCTGGCTTCCTCCCAAAGCAATTGGTGTACTACGGTCTATGGAGAAGCTGCTACAGTGGGGCTGAGAGCATTAAGATTTCATGTTATAGTGCTGTACAGGTTATAACTGCAGAAAGATTATCTATGGCATTTTTTATTTTGTATGGAATAACTTCTAAAGAGATTTTAAATAGACATTTCCCAAATGATAGTATTTATCTAAAAATGGTCAAGCCCATGCAGTTTTGGTTTATCACACTAAATGATTGCACTTAGAAGGTTTTCCATTTAAAAACAAAAGATTAGCCATTTAAGTGGTCTGGTCACAACAGGTAATTATTAGCTTATTTTAGAATTTTTTTACAAAATCTTACAACAGCCTATGTTTGACCTGCCTCATCTTGCAACCCATAGTAATTTTGACAGTTTTTATTCTATGTAGAGCACAGAGTATAACTGTCACTATTGCTACAGAGTGGATTAATGCTTTTACTACTTGCGTCAAGTGTCAAGCCTGTCTTTTTTTTTGTAGACTGAAGCTGCATCCATACTGGAAACAATTTACACTGATGTAACAACCAGAGACCATAGAAAGTCGCGTCGAGCAAGTACGGGGAAAATAACAGCTGGTGACTCAAAGCGAGCAGGACCCAAGAAACATCTCTCAACTTCCCGGCATTCTACTAAGTGACCAGTCGTCAGCTTCAGAGTAAATATGCAATGAGGGAATCGTTTCCAGTGTGACGGCAACTTAAGCTGCCAGGGTAAAATAATGTTCCAACTTTTGAGAGTATTTGCTCTAAACTATTCAGTTTATTCTTGACAATATAAAACTTTAATTTTACGTTTCAGTTAGTCTGCATTTGTTCCATAACAACTGTGTCTTTGCTTATATAGTCTTTTACTTATCTTAATGTTAGAATAGCAAAGCTTTTACAGCAGATCTGAATGCAGTGAGTGGCTCCTTTTGGAGCTTTACATAGATGAGTACTAAGCAGTGAGGTTCTTCTTTTTGTGAAGAAGAATCAGTTATAGTTATAGTCAGTTAAAGTTTGTTTAGCTGAGTCAACCCTTGCAGTATTATCACCTGTGTAAGTCAAGGCAGGATTCACATCAATGCATTGCTTCCAACGCTTGACATAAGCTTTCCTGATGTTTGGGGGTAACTTTGCTGGCACAAATGTCATAGTAATAGTAACCAATCATCACAAGGCAAGCTAGCCAAGCTTTGATTAGCCTTTAACATCAGCCGAGGTGCCTTCCTCGGAGTAATTTTGTTCAAATACGACAGGGTGATTATTCACTGCAATGAATAACTTATTTCTTACATTTAGATGCCAAACTGCACAAATCACAAGTGAATAATCATGACTGTTGAATGTCTGCACTGGTGCTTCAGATCTTGAATGTCTCTCCACTTATAGTACAGACAAAGCAAAGCAATTGATCTGTAATTTAGATCAGCGATGCATGATGTTACCCAATTCAAGGCAAATAAGAGTGTTGAAGCCAGAAATTCATCCATGTGAATCCTGCCTGTCTCAGCATATCAGAGTTAGGATTTTGCAATTAAGATACAAGGCCCTAGCTAACCACCATGGAAATGTGAAACTTTTGGTCTACTTTAAAAGGTTCATGTTTCATTTTAAGATGAGGAAAATTCTTCATGGAGGAAACTCTGTATCACATCTTCTTGTTCAAATGCAAGTTCAGTAACATGCCTATTCATGAATTGCAGAGAAAAATAATCTCACCAGACTAATAATAATAATAATAATAATAATAATAATACATTTTATTTGAAAGCGCCTTTCAAAACACTCAAGGTCACTGTACACGGTAGAATAAAAGCAACATAAAAGGATAAGACATAAACAAATAAAATAGCAGAGTGGAGAGGTTATGTGGGATAAGCTATTTTGTACAAGTGGGTTTTGAGTTTGGACTTAAAGAGTGAGAAGGAAGAGATATTTCTTAAATCAGGATTTAGGGAATTCCAGAGTCGTGGAGCAGAGCAGCTGAAAGTCCTGCTGCCCATGGTTGCAAGATGGGGGGAAGGGACGGAGAGTGAAAGGGAAGAAGAAGATCTGAGACAACGAGATGGGGCGGTGATCTTAACCAGATCAGAGAGATATGGAGGAGAGAGATGATGAATAGCCTTAAATGTGTACAAGAGTATTTTGAAATTGATGCGATATTTGACCGGGAGCCAATGAAGCTGCTGCAAGGCAGGAGTGATGTGGTGGACAGAAGGGGTCCTGGTGATGATACGGGCAGCAGAGTTCTGGACGCATTGGAGCTTGTGGATGGATTTTTGAGTAAGACCAAAAAGATCCGGGAAGTAACAAGGCTATGGACAAGAATGGCATTAGCATGTGGGGTGAGAAAAGGATGGAGACGATTAATGTTGTGCAATTGAAAATATGCAGACCGAGTAACATTATTAATGTGTGAATTGAAAGATAAAGTCGAGGATGACACCCAAACTTTTCACAGAGGAAGAAATGAAGACCGGTGAGTTATCGATAGTAATAGAGAAACTGTTGGTTCTGGATAATGTTAATTTAGTGCCCACCAAGAGGAGCTCGGATTTATTACTATTGAGTTTGAGAAAATTAGAAGAGAACCATGAATTTAGTTCAGCTAAACAGAGGGTAAGGGAGGATGGGGGGAGAGCAGAATCAGGTTTAGTGGACAGATAAAGCTGGGTGTCATCGGCATAACAGTGAAAATGGATATTGTATTTACGGAAAATATGTCCAAGCGGTAGAAGGTAGATAATGAAAAGAAGGGGCCCCAGGACAGATCCCTGGGGCACACCAGTGGTCAGAGGAAAGGGCTGAGAAGTAAAGGATTTGAGTTGAATGAACTGAGTGCGATCAGACAGGTATGATTTAAACCAGGCTAGTGGAGTATGGGAGAGACCGATAGAGGCTAGCCTACTGAGAAGTATAGAGTGAGAAATAGTGTC